AGGAAGCTGGGATACATCAGGGCCATGCAAAGAAACCATCGTTCAATGAAACGACTTAGTGACTGTCGCAACTGTCTCAGGGCTCCCCGCTCCCTCCCCCTCTCTCTCTCTCTCTCTCTCTCTCTCTCTCGTGCGGACTCGAAAAGGGAATACGTGATGCGGTTCCCAGGCGACCTTGGGAAGGCGCCTGCAACCGGAGTCTGCCTGCTCTCTCTCTCTCTCTCTCTCTCTGGCATCTCAGGATATCTCAGGACTTGTCTCAGACTGCTTTCCGCACCCTAATCTATTTCACTATGTGAAGCACTATAGAACATAAATCTGCAACATTTTGCTAAATAAATAAATCATGATTTTCAATGGTTGGCTAAAACCAGACTTCACAAGCCTACAAGTTTGTTGTATCAAAACCTCCGACGAAGGTAGCGTCAATCCAGTGAAGACTAGAAGTATGTGAACATGAGAAAACCTCTCAGAAGGAGGAGGCTATCGCAGTAAATGTGTTGGTGTGTTGTCGATGGCGTCTGTAGTTTGTAGTGATACAAGCGCGCGTGCAGACACACAAGTGCACATACACAGAAACAAGAGAAATTATTTGTGTGATGCATAGGCTCTGGCCTGCTGCAAGAGCGCGCCTGCCTATTTCATAAACCCCGATCACTCACCACAAGCTTGACTACAATAGTTGAGGCTGCTGGGGATTCCTGCAGTCAGCGGCCAATGAAGACGCTGCGTGCACCTGTCACGTTTCAACTGTTGACAAGCTGTCTACTGGGCCCTTGCTTGTGTCTAGCTGCGTTTTCTCAGTTCTGTCACAAAGAGTCCTGACGGTGTGCGCGCCTGTTCTCTCAGAAGTTGAAAACCATTACACCGGCAATCCTGAGCCCAATGCGTCAACGATCACATACTTCGACGCAGCGCGCAGAACAAAACCACTGGAAACTTGACAGAGTGAGAGACAATCAGCTCGCTAGCAACACTGCAGCTCCCGTGCTCAAAGTACAAGCCTGTTCGTCCCGCCCTTTTCTCTCAGCGCCTTGTCTGCATTCTACAGGGCATAGCCACCTGCAGCGTCTGAAACTTTTAGCATGGTATGTTCTGTCGTGGACAATGTTGGCCTTTGAGGCAGTCACCTCGTCATGGCTTTTGAGATCGCGCATGGTCGAGCCTTCTTGCTGCTCTGCGCTGGCTGCTGCTTGCCTTCATTGTTCTTGCGAGTCCGCAACGAAGCTACGGACCCATTAAGCACCCACACTGAGGTTGTAAGAAGTCTGAACAGTTTGCGACCAGTTCAGGCGGGCTTCGGAGGAACACGCGCAAACCTTCCACGCAAACAGCGTCAAACTGCTATCATTGGCTCGCGTTTTGCAGGTTCAGACAGCCACGCGCGGCAAGAACGTGAGCGGCCCACCAAAATTCACAGGCCTACATGGTATCGAAGATTTCGCTGCAAAGGAGCCTCGGCTTCACATGTAAAGCAAACGGTGTCCAACTCTTGTTCCTGCACCTTTCAAGGTTGCTCTGGCCAAGCTTCATCCACCAACGATGCCCCTGAGACTGAAAGCCAGCTTCTGGTTTGCACTATGAAGTTGTAGCCGCAATACACCCGGAAGCAAGACTTGTAGTGTACAGAATAACATGTATGGCTAAGGGCATCGCCTACATTCACGACAGCTGTCAACAAAGATGCATTTGGTGGCGATAATGATGTACTTTTTGTTGGAGTCGCCCCGACAGAGTACCCGTGGGAAGATTATTCTCACCTCACCAAACGACAGCGACAGAGACGTCGTGAGAAGCGTTACTGGGACAATGTATTGCGGAGCGCCCTCCGAAAGCTTCGAAGACGCTGGGTGGAGAAGCGCCTGGTGGAAGCCCGGCGTGACAATGCAACTTTCGATGAGTTTCAGTCGAAAGTGTACGCAGAAAGCAAAGTCATCGAAGCTGTGGAGGATAATCCCGGTGAAGCCGCCAGCAGCTTGCGGAATAAGAAATTTCCAACACGAAGGTGACTCGGACTGGTTTGCCACGCGTGCAGTTTGTAACTGAACATGTGTCCGCGTTCGCTTTCTCAGGCCCTATGAGACTGACTTTGCTCCGAAAGATGTCTGCTTGGTAGATGCGCTCCGCTCTTTGGGTTTCAACGTTCCCTACGTGGAGGATGGTCCTTTCCGGGCACTAACTGATGGGAACCGCTTCTTGCGCCCGTTCCAGACACTTGGTTGCAAATAACTTTTGGTTATCTGCTAGATTTCTTGAAACTGCTGCGCGCCCTTTCCAGGAAGCAGCTGGTACCTGTCTTCAAGCCAGAGGACATGAGGCCTGGCAAATATGTCCTATACCGTGACCGCCACTTCGTCGGCTTGGAGATTTGGCCCGATGGTAGTTGCATTGTCCGGACAACCCGGCACAAGCACGTTGGCAGTGTGCAGGAGTGGTGTCCTGCCATTGCTAGACAGTGGGAATTGATTTTTGCTGCGCAGTCTGATGGGCGCGTTATTAGCAATGTTCACGATGTGTGGGGAGGTTGCGATGTGACTAGGGGTGCCACACCAGCTCCTTGTTCTTACATGTGTGTTCTATTGGCAGAAACCGAGAAGGCAAAGGTTGTGGAGGAAGACAGGCGCACGGAAGTGCTTGTGAAGTCCGCTATGACAGATGATTTGCTCAGCGCATTCCAAATGTATTTGGAGTGGGAGCATTGCAACTTCTTGGATATCGTCAGAGACCATGTGAGCGCTAAACTTGGCTTGCCGTACTTCACTATCGATGCGTTTTGCTTCGAAACGCAAATTTCAGAAACTTCATCATGGCAGGCGCTCGGTTGGCCATCTGTCGTGCATATTGTCAAGAAGCCGAAAGTCATGCATTTCACAGAAGACCTGTTCGACGCAGTTGATTTGTGCGATGTGATGGCAATCAAACGCTGTTTGGAAGCCGGACAGGACCCAAACTGCGCGATATGCACTTCAGTCTTGGGTTGGGCAGCGGAGATTGGCAGCGTGCCATCAATCAAAATGCTTGTGAAGGGAAATGCTGACGTGAATCTTTTTCCTCCCCAAGGTCTCAGCCCTTTGCGCATAGCAGTTCTCCATGACAGACCGTTTGCCACTGAACAGCTGCTCCTAAGCAATGCGGATCCGAATCTGTGTGATTCGAGTGGTTCTGCAGCAGTGCATTCGGGAGCCTTCTGCAGCTTTCGAACACTAGACACATTGCTCTTGCACGGTGCAGACCCGTTGGTTCGTGATGCTGATAGCAACACATTGTTCTCGCTGGCTCCACCAGGCCCTGCAGCTTCCATGTGTATTCTGAGTTGCTGTGAGCGACTGCAACATGTTGACGTCTTGCATCGTCATTGGTGCGATATCTTTTCTTGGTCCCTCAACCCTTCCATGTGGTCTGTCTGTCCTTGCCTCGCGCACCAACGCCAGTTCTGTGATGTGTCTGGAGGTGCCAACATCGGTCAAATGGAGCAATCAGTCAGCGGCTTAGAGCCGCAGCAAGTGCTTCGCCACCAGTATTGTTTTCCTGGTCCAGCTCTCAACTCAGCGCATCACCAGCAAGTCTCCAAACAGCTGCGTGAGTTCCAAAGGGCAATTGAACCACTCTTGCCAATTTTGAAGCAATGCCCCCAACTGTTCTGGATTTTGCCTAGCCCTCTAGCATTCACTTTGGACCGGAGCTCATGGGTTCTCCGGCTGTCTGCCACCAGTTTCTTCTTGGATTTGTTGCAGTCACACGACTACAGTGTCTTGTCGCTGTCCTTATATGCCTTCTTTTGGCCAGAAGTTCGGTCCTTTACATTCTTGTTTGACATGATCTTTGCTTCAAACAGCCTGTCTGCCAGTCGCGCTCACACGCTGTACATGGCAAATACAATCCTTTTTCTTCACTTGATTTGGTTGTCGGAGACATCTTCTTGGAAGGACCGCTTGTCTGTGCGCGGCAATACTTTGGAGATGTTAAGGACTGCGCGAAAACATAGCGGATTGAAATCGATTCTGAGCTGGTCACTGGGTGTGAAAACCAACAAGCAAGTTTGCGTTTGCAACGTTGGCGTTGTGGAGCAAGTGCCCGTTCGTTTAGATTTCAGTACGCCCTGTCTTGCCAACTTTCACAGAAGAGCAAACAGCAGGATCAGGGAGCAGCACTTCGCAGTTCGGACTCATTTGCAAACGTACATGCCAGTTCTTTCAAGCCATCGTCACTTGTGCTGTACGTTGCCTGACCCTACTGATGTTGCGCTTGACAGGCGTGCCTGGCGGATCAGGCTTTTCACGTCCGGGTTCCTCTTAATGTTGCTGCAAGACCAAGATTTCAATTTCCTTGAGTTGGCTCTGCTGATTCTTTTCTGGCCAGAGATCAAGCGATGCACTCATATGCTCGACCTTCTGTCATCATCGCAGCTTTGTTCTGCCAGATGCCAGCGCTGCAAGCATTTGGCCTATATATTCCACGTTCTGAATCAAAAATCTCTACTATCCACTTGGTCAGGCTCTCAGATTGCTGAACGTGAATCAGCACTGAAGATGGTTAGAACCCTGCGACAATCACTGCGCTTGTCTCAGTCCTTGGCAAGCAGTGCTACCGCTGGTCTGGATGTGTGGGGGGGAGCTGCGTCTGTCGCCGAAGACGTGCGCTCTGCAGAAGCGTGGCAGAGCAGGGTCGAGACGGTCGAGTGGTTTTGCGATCAGTTCAAAGATTTGCTGATTGCAAACCCAAAGTTGTTTGAGTTTATGTCGCCATTGCTGGTTGTCGACGATCAACTGTGGGAGGCAGGGTTAGAGGAAGCCAGACATGCCTTGGCATTGCAAACAACATCATCTCCTGACAAGGACCCTGATCCATCGGCAGTCCAGCGAATCAACAAGCGGCTAAGAATTTTCATGTCATTCCTTCGAGAACATGGTAAGGAAATCAGAATGTGTCCAGAAAGCTTGGCAGCGCTACCGAACCCCTTCAATGATGCCACTCCAAAGCGGCAGTGGGAATCCGCTTGCTATCAGTGCAGGCAGCTGTGGCGCTCTGCGCAGCATTCTACAGCTCTCCCTGAGACACCTTCTTCCGATGTGTGGGGCGGTTCTGAGATTGTAGTTCGATTTGCGGTGACAGGCGAACAGCTTTTGCTGCTGAGGGTCCCAAGTGAGGAACAGAGCTTGCTTGACTTGGTCAGATCAGCAGTGAGCTCTGCTGGATGGTGCCACCGCTTCTGTGTGGTTGCGAGTGCATCTGGCCACTTGATTTCGGAACATTGCACATGGCAGAGCGCCGGCGTGCCAAGCGGTGTAGATGTTATTCTACTACCGCTGACACGGGAGTTCACACAGCAGATGTTTGAAGCCGTCGGAAGTGGTCGGGCGCGCGCTGTCAAGAACTTTCTTCAGCAAGGGCAAGACCCCAACAGCCGGTCAGATGGCGTTCCGGTCTTGATCGCTGCCATCAATTCGATGAGCGCCGAAGAAGAGCTTGTGACTTTGCTGGTTGATGGTGGCGCAGACCCAGATGCCTGCGATGACAGGCAGGTTCCGGCATTGCATTATGCCATGTTGAGCTGCAGGCCTGCCCTTGTGAACAAGCTTCTGAATAGCAAGGCTAACCCACACGTACGAGATCATCGCCTCAACACTGCCCTGCACACTGCCGAGTTTTCGCGGCTGGAGAGCGTGCAGAGTCTGCTGGCGCACAGGGCTGACCCATTGGCGGAGAACGTTGACGGTGACACACCCTTTTCTCTGTGCAAGCATAGCGCTGACATCAATGCTTGCATCATGGAAAAAGCTTGGGGCCGTCTCACTATGCAGCACATTCTTGTCAAGTGCTTGGGAGATCTCTCTCAGTGTTGCGCTTTGCAACAGCTACAACTTACATGCGTGACCATCCACAAGCAATACACCAGCCTCAGCATAGAGTATGCGCAGGGAAGCTCGTCAGAGGTCGATCAACCAGATCAAGGCCTTGCTGATGCACAGATTGATGCTGTAGGTGGATCGAGTCAAGCAGGAAGCTCACCCAACCAGTGCACATTGTCGGAGCTACAAGCCCGCACAATCAGGCACAACAAGTCAGTGGCGAAACGCCGACGCATGGAAATGATGGCGGTGTCCACCACAACAACCAGAAGGATGGGCTCTAGCAAGTTGATTGGAGAAGGCTTGCTGTGCAAGACTGGCATGGGCCATTTATTCCCCACATTCCTTTTGCAGGCGTCTGTTCGCAGTACGAGCATCGACGACGCCATGCAAGCAGAGCAGGTGCCCATCCTTGACCACTTCCAAATCTTGCACGCGCATGCCCGCGATGATGCCCTCACATTTCACCCTGAGACACATTCGTACTACATCAACGGAACCAAAACTCATGGGAGTGTCACTAGCCTGATCCACAGGTTTGTGCACCCTTTTGAGTCAGACGCCATCATTGACAAAATGATATGTAGCGAGAACTGGCCACGGCCTGACTATCTCAAGTCATACATTCACCCACAAGACTTTGCTGACCTGTCAATGTGCCCAGAGGCAGCGGAATTAGTTTCTTTGCTGGGTGTGCGCGGTTCAAGGTCTCATGAAATCTGCCGACTTGCTCAGTCGCTGAAGCGTCGCCACCCGGCCTTGAAAAGTTTAGTGAATGCCATTGCCATGAGCCCATCGCAGATTGTGAAAAAATGGACGCTGCAGAAAGAAGAGGCAGCGTTGCTGGGCACAAGAATGCACGCATGCCTCGAGTGCATTTTGAACGGTGGAGATTGCCCTGAGACTGCAGAAGTTCAGCTGTTCCTCAAGTTTTTGCACGGGCTCGAGGGAAAGATTTTCCGAACAGAATGGAAAATTTGGGGCGGTGAGGAGTGCATCGCAGGCGCTATTGATTTCGTTTCCCAGAAGCAAGATGGCACGTTGGTGTTGTACGACTGGAAGCGGTCAAAGGCTCTCTGGCAGAAGGAGGCCTCTTATGGAAGACATATGCTTCCTCCAGTCTCTCATGTGCCGGATGCGCCGCTATGGCACTACCGACTGCAGCTGAATTTGTACAAGTTTTTGCTGGAAAAGTACTATGGGGTCATTGTGTCAGAAATGTTTGCGGTGGGCTTTCATCCAGACACTTGGCCGACAGGCTTTGTAGACAAGGTTCCCGACATGCAGACTGAAGCGGCTTCCATGATGAAGTGCCAGGCTGATGCTCTGCCAGCCAACTGGAGGCAGGCTGATGTATGCGGTGGGAGTATGCCTTCACAAGAGCACAACGCATTTCCAGAAGTTGGGCAACCTGACGCTTTCATGGATGAAGTGCCTCCTTCCCAAGGATCTGTGCAACGGACAGCGGCTAAGTCTCAGCCTAGGAGACCAATCATCAAGGAAGAAGATGGCTCTGCTGGTGCCATTGTCGAAATGGATGTGGAAGTGGAGCAAGCAACGTTTGAGGTCTTAAAGCGTCGCAGGCATCAACCACACTGCTTCACGTCAGCGCAGGATTTCGACGAACACTTCTTACGCCTGCAGGCTGCTAACAAATTATTTCAAGGGCGTGTCCGAGAGCCCATGGACAACTCACATACAATCATCGAGAAAGTGCGTTTCTGGCGGCAGCGTGTGGAAGCAGAACTGCCAGGAAAGTCAGACTATTTCATTCGTATTTGTGCGTGCGCCTTAGCCTTTGCTCGGGCTCGCCTGGCCGACATTTCGTTGCGGGAGCATGCCCTTGTTTATTGGATCGCTGAAGGCCATCGGTCCCTGAGGTTTCATGCCGGCGACTGCTACATGCTCACACCATCTGGGGCCTTCCAGCAACACAGGGGTGTGCCACCAGATCATGACCGAGTGCAAACATTTCTGATGCACGTCGAAGGCATATTCCGGAGACTTCCGTCGAAAACACCGAGAAACCTGCAAGGAATCCTTACTGCCATTGAGGCTCTGTTTGCACAGACCACGGATGAGGCGGCCTTTCTGGAACAGTGTGCAGATGCATGCCTTAATTTCGAGGGTGAATCAGGTCCTGCTCGGCGGTTTGACAGGCAAAACGTGGGTGAAGGTGAGATGAGAGAGGACCCAGAACCACCTGTCCGTTGGAACGTTGGCACCGCAAAGAACATCATGGTAGTAAAGAAGCAGCTAGCAAAAGAAATGACAGAAGAAAAGCTGTTGCATTTCATGAGCGAATGGTGCGAAACCCCTCATGAGCCCCAAGCTTCATGCTGCTATGACGACTGCGCCATTCAATATGACGATGAGCTTCTACCCGCCCACCAAGTAGACAGGAGAACCCTTGAAAACTGCTACCTTCGCATTCCTCATTGCATCAAGGGTGCAGTGCCTCAAGCCATTGTTGACAGGCTGCACAAATTCTACGCGCAAACCTTTTGGGGAAATCTGCAAGTGTTTAAGTGCGGCCAAGCTGCGCAAGCTCTAGCAAAGAGAGGATTGAACGTGGTCCGGTTGTTCATCGGGCTCTCCAGTGGCGGAGTGGGGCAATCTCTATTTTCGACACACCTGCGTGCCATGTATGGGCACAATTTCGCCTTCTTCGATCCCAACATCTGGTACAACGAGGAAGAGATCAGAAAACAGATTGAGCAATTGAACGGCTGCTGCATTCTGACCGGACAAGAAACCCCTGGCACAAATCGCAAGTTGAAAGAGGATCTCTTTAAGAAGTTTGCAAGCGGCGATGGAATAGCTGGCCGCAAGCCGTACGGGTTCAAAACCCGCATGATTCATTGTACAGGTTGGAAGCGCTTAGAAGCCAACCGAATGTTCACATTGAGTGGAGTAACCAAGCGGGATTTCAATTCCATCTTTCGAAGGGCCTTTGTGTGGCAGGTCAAGTCTCGGTTTGAAGACCCGCATGTAATTGAAAGTACATACCCAGAGATTTCCGTTGATGGAATTTTCCCCAAGGATCCAAACTTGGCACACTTCCTGGTGTCAGGGCCAGCTGTAGCTGCTGCACTGCAAATTCAACATGCATTCGAAGCAGAACATTCGAGGCAGCAGTGCGAAGAGATGATTGAAAATTATGTCCTCTGGGGTGGCGACGGAGGTCTAACAGAGAAAACAATGCGTTCTGCGTGCAGTCTTCCGCCAAGAGATATTCGACAAAATGCGACAAAAAGTAGCGGCATCATTGATGTAGATAATGGCTCTGACACAGAGCGAGCTGAGAGCAAGGAGTGGGACAATGTCCGTCAGGCCATGTTTAGCACCATGTTGTCGCAGCGACGGGTGTTCTTTGCAAAAGCTGGTGTGTTAGCGTTGAAGTTCAAGGATGGACCGAATGTCACAAGAGAAGAAATCTTAGAAGGACTCATTCATCGAAGCCTTTGCGGGCAATCAGACCGAGGAAATGCAGTCTGGAGTAAGACTCCCAAAAAAGGGGATTCAGTGTTTTACTTTCCACTCATGACATCACAAAAACCTTTCTCAGACATCATGGACCACAGATGCAGAGCTTGTGATTTGGAGCTCCCAGAAGTATACGATGTACCTTCCTTTCAGCAATATGTGTGCGGGCATCCTTACAGGAAGGAAAACGTTACTATCCTGAGTGGAGTGCTTGAGCACCTCGGTTTGCGCAAAGGAGTCGGACGGGCGTCAGCTGCCACGATGAAGCTCCAAGAGTCCTTAGCGCAAGCAAGCACGAAGATGGTCGAGGCTGAGCGTAGAGCTGATCTTTTGCTTGACCAAATGCTTCCTGAAGGAAAGATTGTGAAAAGGCGTCGCGCCAGCAAAAGTATGCCCAACGTCAAGGAAGAAGCTGAAGCCGTAGTGCGACAAGCGAAGTGCTCCTATCACTACACAGAGCCGGACACGCTCAGAACAAGAAAGCAGGTCACAGGTGTGGGCGCTCAGTCTTTCACTCGTCGTGCCCAAGCTCATTTGCTGGGAGACACGGTTGATTTGGACATCCAGAACTGCCTATTCACGCTGATGTCACAGCTCCTGGACAAGCTCATTGTCGAGCCCCAAATGCCCAATGATGTGCGCAGCGCTTTGGACAGATGTGCAACGGACCGTCCTACTGTTTGTGCGGAAGAGCTTCAGATGTCCGTAGAGGATGGCAAGAAGTTGCTGGTGTCCATTTTCTACGGAGGTGCCACGCCAGAGCGTCTGCGGTCCTCTCAGTTCGTGCAAAACCTTCAAAGGGCATCAGTATTCTGTCGCTGGCTGGCGATGTCTTTGTTCACCGATGAATATAAGTGCTTTGCGTCTGCAGAATCTAAGAAGAAAAACCCAGACAGTTCTATATTGTCGCATCTCTACTTTGCATTAGAAGACCATATCCTGACATCCTGGTGTGAATACATCCAAAAAGAAGTTGGGCCAGAGCATTTGTCGTTGCACTTTGACGGTGTGCGCCTGAATGTTGGGTCTCAGAAAACAGTTGCACAGCTCTGTTCAGAAAGTGAGCAGCACATCCTCTCAACGACCGGCTTTCGAGTGAAAGTCTTGGAACAGAAACATCGGACAGTCTTGCAGTCTCTACAAGCAACAGCCTGCAAGCACAAGGTTTCCGACTTGCCTGACACACACATTTTGAGGCGAACAGGAAATTGCATCTTGCATGGCCTGATGGCATTGGGCTGCTTCAAGGGTAACTGCGATGAGAAGCTTGCAGATCCGCAATCTGCAGCATATATGGAGCAGCGTGGCAGTCGGACATACATGCAGTGCAGCAAAATTGCTGAATGCCCACTCTTTCCTGTGCCCTTCTGTTTGCTCAAAGATGTACCGCTTGGCAAATGGCTCCTGCACATGGAAAATGGATCAGCTCCTCATTGTGTGGCGTTCTCATACCAGGACAGCGACGGCGACGTGACAGTGTGGGATACGAGCGCGTCTTTTGATGTGTCATCAGAATCATTCCGCGGGTCCTTGGCGTGCGGAATCGACAGCAGCAGCGTAGTTCTTTTTGGGCTCGCTGAAATTGAGCAAGGCATGCTCCAAGATAGCGCTATCAGCATCACAGAACAGATTTCGCAAAATCTTATGGACCTTTCTGCAGCTGGCTCGGACGGTGACAGCTATGCTGGAGAAGTCTGGCAAGAGAGCGAAGAAAGCGATGTGCTGTCAGATGCTTTTGAATGGTTGGACTCTGAAGGGAAAGTTACAGTGGATACTAGCCTGGTTGAAAAGTTAGCGCAAGAAGCTGTCGAGCAGTTGAAGGCTGCGCAAAAGGGAGCCATCCGCAAAAGGAATGGAGAGTTCCCATGTCCTGCTTGCCCATTTCGCAGCTTTGATCGCTGCTGTCGTGTGGTCAAACATCTTCGAAAGTACCACACTAGCAAGAATCAGTACTGCTGCTCCGGAACCAAACAGGTACGTGTTATCCTGGCATTGCATGATTATGACATGATCGCGCAAAAGCCTTCTGGCTCGTACCTCAAAAGAAGTGCAGCTTTACTGCGAACTCAAGTCAGCCCAGCTCTCAGCCCCAGAAACAATAAGGTCGATCGTTGGGTTAGATTAGTGCTGGATGGGAAGGGGCCAAGATTAGCCCATAAAAGCGCAATTGGCGACTGTCGTCGTTTGCCGAACGGCAAGCTGTCCTACACACGAACCTTTGCGCAAAGACTTTTTCAGGAAATGCTTCTCAACCAAGGAAAGGCAAGGTAATGGCCAAAAGGTTTTCATGTTGTCTGTTCATTGATACAGGTTTAATATATAACTGGAGCCGTCTACTTGTGCATACGCAGTTTGACTGCCCCTGATCAGGTCAAGTCTGCAATCAAACGGCTCTTGCTGGACTCTGCAGCGCAGCGCAACCCCTTGACAAACCTCCTGCCTTTGCATCCTTCAAATTGGTGGCCTTTGGTCGAGGATGCATTTTCTTCGCCCGTTTGCAGAAATTTGTCAGAGAGCCTGCTCGCGAAGGCAATGGACCATGCGGAATGTTCCTACTTGTCGATAGATGGCACCTTTCGTGTTTGTCTATCATTGCTCGGACAGCCCAAATTTAATGATCCACCTAGTGTTCGGCAGCAGTTCCCATACACAGGAGAGAGTTCCATCACCCGAGTGATTTCCATCAGAGGTCGGAGCGGCGCTGTCTTAGGATTGATCCCTGCAGCTGGTGAAGGGCCTTCTCACATACTGCACTGCTTGCAATCAGCGCTGCCTGAGCGAGGGCTACAGCAGGTTGAGCACATTGCAGTTGACAACCCTTCAGGCAAGCTCTTTCAAGAGTTGAAGGGCACCTTGCGCAAACTAACCAGCGTGTCCTTAGACCCTACTCATGCCTGCATGCACTACGAGCAGGCGCTTGGCAAGCATCGTTCCGCCGGATCTGGTACGCTGCGAAAGTTTATGGCCAAGTTTTGTGGACGAGACCCTGATATCACGGCCAACATATGGGGGCCCATGTTTGAGGGCAACAACTGTCCAAGAATCACTGGCCAAGAGCAAAAACTTCGCGAAGAAATTAAATCAGGGTCGATGCCAGCACGAAAAGCACAACAGGTGTTGAGCGCCTCGGATGCCCTGAAGGTGTGGCCAACCCGCTTGCAGTTCGTGGAAGCCATAGCTGCTCTGGCAGCAGTTCACAGTGAAGACTTGGCCAGAAAGATTGACGGCGCAAAGATCACAGTTGCCACCATCCTATACAACCTGACTGCGGGTGACCGCATGGAATGGTTGTTCAACTGCTTGCGCTACCGGCACTTCCTTCCCGAAGCTGTCCGGGTACTCTTACCGTCTGGTACAGCTTCGAATGAGGCGTTGCATGCGGAGATCAACGCTTGGTTCCGCCAGGTCCAGCAAATGCATCGCAGCACTCTTGCCCTGAAGCTCCGCATACAACAGCTTGGCAAGCTAATCCCTCACATGGTGGCGTTGCATAGCCCTACATCGCGTCAAATGCCCGAAGGGCATCTTCTGGCACGCTATTTGGGCAATCCGCTATGGTCAACAAGTGCGTGGGCGGAGTGGCTCTCACAACGACAAGTTGACTTGCCTCTTGCAGACCAAAGAAAATCGGAGAAGCGGACAGTTGCTGACGCAGGATTGAACATGAGAAGACCAGCAGCTCAACGTACAAAAAAACGCACGCCTTTCACTTTAGAGCGGCGTCCTGGGTTGTCCCGGGCAGGCGTGTACATGCGGAAACCTGCCAAGATATCCTGACGAGCGTTGAAGACCTGTGAACGGAGAAAAAGCTGGCGCGTCAATGCGCTTGAGGGTTCCTGCGCATGTCAGTGGGGAGGTGGCGTGTTTCTGATTTGAATATTGCGCCGTCAGCGGTGCTTGAAGGAGTGTGAGTCAAGCCTACAACCAAAAACAAACCCATCAAAGCTAAGAACTAGCAGAGAACTGTCAGTCTCCGTTGCTGTTGTCCAAACTGGTGGTGAGCTGCGATACAACACCGCAATGAGAATATATTCTTCACTTAAGTCAGCGCCCTCCAACGGGGTGACACAGCACACCACAGTGGGAAGATGTTGCGAAACACATGCAGGAAGAGCGAAGGAGCTTTATACAAATGTTTTCACACGAAAAGTTAGCGCTTTACTGCTACTGCAGTAGACCTGGCCTGAAGGGCAGAAAGGCAGAAAGTTGACAGAATACCCGTCAGGAAAACAGCGTGGAACGCATGTGCACACACGCGCGCGCAAACACACATCCAACCACGTAGGTGCGCGCGTGTACTATATAGGACCAACACGGGGTAACTGTACGAAGGGCAGTCTATTTTTCTTTCGCCAAGACACAATGTGAAAGAAGGCGTGGTCAGGCTGTGATCGCCAGTGGTTTTGCAACGGTGGTTTGTTCCTTTTTCATTGTTTAATCCATTGCGTGTCCATGTGAGAATTTGAAATCCCAGGTGATTCAGGAACCGATGGTGGACCCGACGAGTCCGACGACCACAAAGAAGGAGAGCCTAATGCGGGCGTACGTCGGAGAGGTTTCCTACAGTTTGTAGTGCGGAATTTCAAGCTCAGAGGGATATAATTCGTGAAGTGGCACAAGTGGCCTACTGAAAGATTGTCATCTTAGAGCAAGAGAAGTGTTTTGTGATATGTTTGTGCAGCGGGGATGACGTGGGGAGAGTGTGTCTCGAGCCTCACACCTATATACAGTTTCCGCGGCATTCATTTGACAGGATCGCAGCCGTTCGCCAAAGAGAGATAAGGCTTGGAATCGTCGGCTGGCAGGGCGAACTGACAATGAAAGGGATGGCTCTTCTTGGTGTCACAGACTTGCAACGCTACTCCCTCACAAACATATTGAAGTCGAAATCATCTGTCTAAGTGAGATATTAAAAAGGTGCCATTTTCTGCGGACGGATAAACACCATATCTATATACATGTTTATATGTATATATACAGAATTATTCATGTATATACATAGACCCTGTGAGTGACATGTTTTGGACTATCAACTACTCATTTTTTGAAGGTATTTTGTTTTTATCACTCGGTTGATGACTCGGGCAATACATGAAGACCTATTGAATACATCGTCCGATCACACGCCTCCATGACCATCCGCGTTTGAAAATCGATATATACGGTATATATACCATTCAATACCTCTCCCGAACACATCCATTCCGGTTCCCCATGGCTTCTGAAAGAGATAGGTCAAACGCATTGGATTCCAGCAGTATAGTTCCTGTTTGGTTGGCGATGCCATTCTGTTTGTTGGGACCGACGGCGCAAACTCGGCCGCCGTGCACCAGAGGCTGGAGGAAAAAGGAAGGTTGTGGTGAAGGAGTGTTGGCAGCCGACATGGCGTCTTCGCAGCGACGCTGAAAGTCTCTTTGGCTGCTTGGCTCAGGTTCGTGTTCAGGTTTAATTACAATGTTTGAGTCGCAACAGGTTTCACAAATTTTTGCGGACCTGAAGTCTGCAGTCATTGTCCTTCGATGTTAGTCTGCCAAACGATACGGAATACGGACATACTCTTTTCTTTCATTGCGCCATCGCGCAACTAATGCTGGGCGCGCGCTTCCCCGCTCAGCTCAGAACCAGAAGCTGTCGCATTTTGTGCGTTTGGCGCCTGAGGTTCTGTGCAGCATTTGTATCATGATCGCGCGCATCATGGCGTGGCACGAATTAAGTTTGTCTCACATGAGGCAGCGCAGAAGTGTGTCGACGAATGGAGGGCCGAGTTTATGTGAAAAGTGCGTGTGTGATACAGTGAGTAACAGGTGGGCACAGACATCGGGCCAGGTGACTATACCTATACCAGTTGCAATGTCTGGACCCAAAACTATATGAAACGACAAGACTTCTGTCAGACTTGAACTGTCCAAACTTAACCCGGTAGAATCTCTCTACAAACTCCGAAGAAATGACCACTCGACACACCGCAGCTGCCAAATGTGCAGTCTTGCAGTTCAGCTTGTGTTGCTCTTGCGGTCAATGCGGAAGCGCACCTTGACCTGATCGCTGTGGCAAGCCCGCGGATGTCGGACAGGTCACCATATGTATGAATAGCGCAAAACAGTCTCTAGCCTACAGTTTTCTCGGTAGGGCTGCCACTGCGTGAAACAGACTTCACAAAGTTCAGTGGACCACAAAAGTGTGTCGATGAGTGGAAGAGCGAGGCTTGGATGAAAACATCCACTGAGAGAGATCTCCTCGACGACCAGGCAGATCTCCTTTTGGGCCTCCGTGGTCACGTACGGCACGGCGCTCTTCGGCGACCGAGATCCAAGGAACACCTTAGGTGTACCAGGACCGATTTTTTCTTGAAAAGCGGAAAGAAACAAAGATCGTCAACAACCATCGTCACCACTGGGCATCGATACAAGAGAAATTCCTTTCCAGGATCGTCCATCGTTTTCGATACCCTTTTCACGAGAGGACCAACGAGTGTCAAACGACACAGGATCCCTCCAGACCGTGAGAGCCGGTGAGAAAAGAAAGCATTTTGTCGCATGCATCCTTCATGCCCAGACACGACGAATGGGACTGCCATATGTAGGCCGGCATTGTTCACGTTAAAGCTTAGCTAACCTAGCTAACTTAGCACATGAAAACCAAGCCGTCCAAACTTGCGTTCCGAAACCACAAGAACTGTTTTGAAACCCGAGCCGGCCAAGCTGAACCAAATAGAATAGTGCTGATCGATGCAGCTGTCAGAGTACAGCGCGTTCGGCTTGAGTTGAGCGTGCTAGTGCGGGATGGAGAAATGCTTTGGACGTTTGATAATCTTTATCACAGCTGTGCGCCTCATAGGGCGCATTCTTCCCAGCCACGGGCCCCCCCCCCGGCCACTAAAATGAAATGTCGGAAGTGATTTCTCAGTGAGATAGGCCTCCACTTTGGTTCTATTTCATTTTTACTAAAGCAAAAGGAAAACTCAGGTAGCGTAACCGCACCCTTCGTGATAAATACATGATAAATAGATAAATTAATAAATAAATAAATACATACATACATACATACACACACATACATACACACACATACATACACACATATACATACAGACAGACAGACAGACAGACAGACAGACATACATACATGGCTCAAGCCATTTGAGATCAAGCAGGCAGCCCCTCAAGTCCTGCGAGTGTGACAAGCCCTAGCGCTACTGTTGCCTGCACTTTGACATCTCGAACGGCCCCGGGACAAGGACACATACCTCCGTTCTTTGCCCGCAATCTCACGAGTCCACCAACCTCACTTTGGCAGAGACCTACGGTGACCGGCAGAGCTCGCCTGGCTTTCTCCTGAGGTTCCACGAGGTCACTGGCACTTCCTCTAACTGGAGCTCACTGGCCTGTTCGAGTTCGGTGCACTGAACCTCATCCAACAACCAGGACACCTTCTAACCCCCCACCCTGGACTATGACTCCTCAATGGGGACGGGCATACATGGTGCGCAAAAGCACCTCCTGCTGGATTTGGACAGAATAAGTCAGACAGGGCACAAAATGCAGGAAATGTGGGACATGGTGGCCAACCTCTACTAAGACCACAGGCAAGGGCAAGGGCTATGGCAAACCAGCCAACAAGGCCGGTACAGGCATCACCCATGGCTGGAAGCACCACCAGGACTGAGCAAAGTAAAGCCCCCTCAAGCCCAAAGTGCAGCAGGAGGCCACAGAGCTCCTCTCCACGGCGTGGGCCTCTCAGATGACACCCAGACCAAGCTACAGGCACTTGGCGTTGGCCCGACAAAGCCCGAAGAGCCCCAACTCAAAGATGCGTTGAAGCCCCACATGGAGTCCCTCCCTCAACAGGTGCAGGACCTAGTCGTCACCAAACTCACCACACCTGAGCCCTGCACTGAACGCGAGATTGCGGCCAAACTCAAAGGCCAAGTCAGTGAGCTGAAGAACATGTCCATCAAGAAGACGCAGCTACAGACCAAGATTGACCATGTCAAGTCCCAGTATGCTGGCCTCCACTCAGTGACATGCAGGAGCTGCAGGTCAAGCTGCTGATGGACAGCGGACCCTAAAGAGTCTTTCGGCATCTCCCTGACGGAGGAACAAAAGACCCAGCTACATGGCCTGCTGAAGAGGCCTAACCAGGATCCAGATGATCCCACCAAGCGCAGGAAAACTGATGCCACAATCGCTCCAGCACCAGGAGACTGTGGGTAACATTCCAGACAGCGCTCTACTTCAGGGGTGGACCTTCCCAGTACCGGACGATGACATTATGTCATGTGAAGGCTCAGAAGGTCCAAACACGGGGACAATCATGGAAGAACCAAGTTTTGCAGAGGCATCCTGTGAGCTTGCGGTTCGACGACAACGACAATGGGTTTGCCGCGATGCATCAGGCTCAGATGCCACCCAGGGGCACTCAGTTGTAACATGTGCAGGGGACAAGCCACACGCAACAACTGCCATACAGCAACGTTTTGGGGACCTCCACACCAACCATGACGGGGACAAGTCACACAATCGTACGGGAGGCTTTTTGCATCACAATTTTGATGAACATCCACGCCCACTCCAACCTGTGTCTGGAACAGCTGACATAGATCGACGGGCTTTGTGGAGGCGCCAGTTCAAGCACCATCAGTCCAACGCTTACTCCAGTGAGGCCACAAACTATGCAGGACTACGCCACATCCGTGGGCAATCCAAGTGCAAGGTGTTACGCACATGCACCCTGGAGGACTTTCACTTGGGTTTGCGCCCTTCTCCAGGAGACCAGCA